TACATTCCACTTCCATGCGATTTAAATATCTCCGCCCATTTGCGGGTACCTTAAATTCGAAAGTGGTCCAGTTCAAATTTCCGGAATTTAAGGCTTATACATGTTCTTTTCAATGACATTCTGTGGAATTATAGCAATATGTTTAACAAAACATTCGAAGTATAAATATCAAAAGCATATGTATGCACAATAATCATAGATTAATTTAGCAATATAGTCTAATTTAAGGCTTAAAATGGGTGGCCGAAAAGGCTCCAAATGACACACTAAAGTGCACTCATTCTTTCAATGCGAATCCTCAAAGAGAATGAAAGTTATCAACAGGAAGCCATTTTCTGCAATGTATGAATTTCTGACCTTCCCCTTTGACCTATTGATCATTAGGGTTCTTTTTTAGGCCACAAAGAGTTGTGATATAAAATTTCATTGCAAAAGCTCAAAGGCTATTTCAATCTGAGACATCATCCAGACACAGAAATGTTAAAAACAGATGGAATCTATGAATTTCTGATCCTGATCTTTAACCTTTTAACCTCAAAATCAATAGGGATTTTTTTTAAGATATGAAAGGTATGAAAACTTGTGATAAAAAATTACATTGAAGAAGCTCAAAGAAAACTTAAGTTAACATCTGGAAACATTTTTTTGCAATGTATGAATTTCTGACCTTGACTTTTGACTTTTTGACCTCGAAATTCTCTGACTATCTTCTTCTAGGTCTTCTTTAGTGTTTTTTAGGCTATAGGAAGTTGTGATATAAAATTCCATTGCAAAAACTCAGAGGTTTTTTGAGATATCATCCGGAAACGAAAGTATTAGACAGAATGACAGACAAACAGATGGACAGACAGAGGACAGACCCAAATTAATATATCCCACTTTCAGTAATGAGACATCTCAACATTAATACAGATGTCTTCTACTAATGAAAATATATACCACCAGAGGGAAACATGAAAGTCACACATTTACTGTTACATTGTAACAAGTAGTAGCAGTATAAGCTGAGAAAAAAACAAGAGGCCCAAGGGCCTTAACGGTCACCTGAGTATAATACAACAATTTAGAGGATCCATAGAGTATAAAATGAACTGAAAGGTGAAGCTTTGTTGCCCAAAAGCAAGAAAAATAGGGTGATCAGGATCAACAAAATAATTAGTCTACTGTTCATTAACAGTTCATAAATTAGGTTCTAATCTGTTCCCCATTTATCACTATCACCATACAGTGTATGAACAAATTATCAGTGATTCTGTACTATTTCAATTCCTTGATGAAATCCCTTACATTGGACTCTCTTGGTCTTTGATGAACATTGAATAAGACAAGTTATTTTTGTCTAATTTTTATTTATCTATTACTTACAAGTCTACCTGATCATTTAAACTATAAAAGTTTTTGTATTATACAATAAAAAATCTTGCATAATTCTCCTCTTCTATTAACCTTTCAAGTACATTATTTACAGTGATTAATTATCAAAAGTAAATAGCAAAGGGGAATAACTCCTCTCAGTTGAATACAAATTAATAGAGCTCTGGCCAGGACCAGAACACTTGACCAAATGGTCCAGATGTTCAAAAATCTTTTTTATATTAAAACTTTTAATCTTTTGCCTCTGATATGTCCAGGTGCAGAGAAGATTTTCAAAGAAATAATGCATTTTTACTACAGATTCTCTATATTATCAATAGAGCCCCCCCCCCCCCCCAAGCACCAGAACCCCTGACCTTGGGGCCATGAATTTCACAATTTTGGTAGAGTCACCCTTGCTTATCATAACTATGTATTCAATTTGTTTCAATAATACCCAGGAGTAGAGAAGAAGATTTTCAAAGAAATAATGCACTTTCACTATATGATCTATATAGCCCCGCCCTAGCCCCAGACCCCCTGACCCTGGGGCCATGAATATCAAAATTTTGGTAGAGTCACCCTTGCTTATCATAACTATGTATTCAATTTGTTTCAATAATACCCAGGAGTAGAGAAGAAGATTTTCAAAGAAATAATGCACTTTCACTATATGATCTATATAGCCTTGCCCTGGCGCCAGAACCCCTGACCCTGGGGCCATGAATATCACAATTTTGATAGAGTCACCCTTGCTTATCATAACTATGTATTCAATTTGTTTCAATAATACCCAGGAGTAGAGAAGAAGATTTTCAAAGAAATAATGCACTTTCACTATATGATCTATATAGCCCCACCCTAACACCACAACCCCTGACCCTGGGGCCATGAACTTCACAATTTTGGTAGAGTCACCCTTGCTTATTATAGCTATGTATTCAATTTGTTTCAATAATACCAAGGGGTAGAGAAGAAGATTTTCAAAGAAATAATGCACTTTCACTATATGATCTATATAGCCCTGCCCTACCACCAGAATCCCTGACCCTGGGGCCATGAATTTCACAATTTGGGTAGAGTCACCCTTGCTTATTATAACTATGTATTCAATTTGTTTCAATAATACCCAGGAGTAGAGAAGAAGATTTTTCAAAGAAATAATGCACTTTCACTATATGATCTATATAGCCCCGCCCTAGCACCAGAACCCCTGACCCTGGGGCCATGAATTTCAAAATTTTGGAAAAAGCATCCCTGTGCACCATTACTATGCACTTAGTTTGTTTAAATAATATCCAGGAGCAGAGAAGAAGATTTTCAAAGAATTAATGCATTTTCACTATTTAATTAATAGAGCCCCGTCCTACCACCAGAACCCCTGACTCTGGGGCCATGAAATTCACAATTTTGGAAAAGGCATCAATGCTTATCATAACCATGCACTTAGTTTGTTTATATAATATCCAGGAGCAGAGAAGAAGATTTTCAAAGAATTAATGCATTTTCACTATATAATCAATAGAGCTCCACCCTAACACCAGAACCCGACCCTGGGGCCATGAATTTTACAATTTTGGAAAAATCATCCTTGTGCATCATTATCATACACTTGGTTTGTTTAAATAATACCCAGGAGCAGAGAAGAAGATTTTCAAAGAATTAATGCATTTTCACTATATAATCAATAGAGCCCCGCCCTAACACCAGAACCCCTGACCCAGGGGTCATGCATTTCACAATTTTGGAAAAGGCATCATTGCTTGTCATAACCATGCACTTAGTTTGTTTAAATAATACCCAGGAGAAGAGAAGAAGATTTTCAAAGAAATAATGCACTTTCACTATATGATCTATATAGCCCCACCCTAGCACCAGAACCCCTGACCCTGGGGCCATGAATTTCACAATTTTGGTAGAGGGCTCAATGCTTATTACAATCATGCCAACAGTTTGACTGCTTGATGTCCAGGAGTAAAGAAGAAGATTTTTAAAGATAGCACTAATTTTGATGGTTTTAGCCCCACCCCTCAGGCCCCAGGGGGGCAGGGACCGTGAAATTCACAATTTTTGTACCCCTTCACCCGTTGATGCTATATGCCAAAATTGGTTGAAATTGGTTCAGTGGTTCAAGAGAAGAAGCTAAAAATGTTCAAAAGTTTACGACCGACGCACGACGACGGACGAAAACAGATAGCAATAGGTCACCTGAGTGACTCAGGTGACCTAAAAACTGAAAAGCACAATAAAAGTTGCCTATAAGCACTTGGGCTGCGATTAGCACTTAAAAAACATTCCCTCCTCTGGTACTATATGTACAGGCCTGTCATGGCTTAATTAATCATTTTTGGTGCAGGATCCTATACCCTTTCATTTGGAAAATTTAAATAAAAAAAAATGGAGATATTGATTACATATTACGTTTAACTATTGATTAAAGATCAAATTGCATATTTATTCCCTATTTACATCTTTATGAGTCATAATTTCAAAATTCAAGTTATTTTTATGTAAAATCACTGAAAAATTCAATTAACATGTACTTGTCACTTGGGAAATTTTACCTAAAATTTTTTTTTTGGAGGGGGGGGGGGGGGCAGTCAATTTTCAATTGGGACAGGATGCTTTTACCGGACCTGGATGCAGTGGGTATTAATTAAGCCCTGTCTGTACATTTACAGCTAATTTTAATATCTATTATCTGGCAGTAATCTTATAGTGCCCACCTCCCAGTATAAATTACACTGTAGTTCACTTTTTAAATATTATACACCTATTTATGGCTATAAGGAAAATAGCAAGTTTATTGTCCCCCAAGACAAACAATGCATCTCTTGGAAAATTCATCATATCCTATAGATAGCAGTGACCTTCTGATGTGTTGATTATAATTAAAATATTGTTTTATGTAGTACTTGAACAAGAAATGGGGAGGAGGAGGGGAACTGCATATAGCGCTGATTGATGAAGAAACAAATTTTCTTCTTAGTACAAGGGATTAAGAACAAGAAGTTCAAGAAAAAAATTAGGAAATTCTAAAATAAGTATCTCTAAGTCTTTCTAGAGTGCTTCGAAATAGACAAATACTGATTTACCGGTACACACAGTTTGCTAGTGCATGTGAACACACTGCAAAAATTACGTTTTTATGATTTATACATCATAAGTAAAATTTGTATACATGCAAAATTTACACCTATAAGTAAATGAGTGCATGTGAACAGGGCTATGATATATTTATCTACACTTGCCTATATTTTACTCATTAACACACTTTAATGACTATAATATCATAACTTCCTGATCTGAGGAGACTGTAGTATTACCTACTCACTACTCTGAAACATTTCTAACATTATAATAAATTTTCCCTTTAGTTATCACTTAAGAATGCAAAGTGCCAATTGAAAGCAGTGTGTCAATGAACAGATATGTGATTATCATGCATTGTCTAATACATGTGAAAATCTGTATACAGATGGTCAAATCATTAACATGTGACTGCTTGTTCATTGTGACACATGACAGACAACAGATCTATAGATCATCCTCCTGAACAGGTGCTTGGTTTGTCACACAGCTAAGAATCTATATCATTAACAGGAGCTTAATAGTTGTGACAGACCAAGTCTTTAACAATATATTACCTCCATTTATAATGAGAATGAGTGCAAACGTAAAATCAGAACTGTCCGAATTGCCGTCCTTGATGACGGTGATGAAGCGATAAAGAGTCAGTCCCAGCGCTGTCAGAATATTTACAATACTAACTACCAGGAACACAGTCTCCTTGGCATCCAAACCAGCACAGGTCCTGGTCTGAAAAGGAGATAATGTACATGTATGTATTGGCGACTCATTTCCTCTTTTGAGATATAAGATTTCACACAGTGTTTTTTGTATTTTCAGTTCAAATTTACAATGTTATATAGAAAAAGCCTAAAGATTTCTAAATCATGTTCCTACAATGTACCTGTAGCACATTCCTTCATCTACCTTTGTGAAGTTCATTTACCTTACCAAAAGCCGTGGCAATCGCTGGCTTGGGGGCATCCTTGATTCCATACTTCGAGTATTCCGTCGATTCCTCGACGTTATTGTCGCTCGACATAATCGTTTTCTTACATTTTCCAGCCTAAAGTGAAAGTAGAGTTCCTGAATGAAAAAATCATATGACCGAAACGATCACAATTGATTTATTTCCGGTGAACGGAAATGACCGAGTACGCTCGGAACATCTCTAATGACACATTTCCCGCCAGAGTTCGAAGGTCTGAAAGAAGGTGTGATTTTTTCTCATTATTTATACCCACCGCTTTAAAAAGGGAGCTTTACAGTGATGGGGGGGGGGGTCAGTTACGCTTGGGGGATATCCATCTCTTTTCCGGAACTCCTCCTATACCACTGAAAAAAAAATTATGAGACTCTCCCAGGCCAGAATCTTTATGCTTTGATCGATCAGACATATGCGCAGGTATATTAAGGCAGTACCCAGATCATTTTTCAGCAAATTTAGATTTTTTTCGTAAAATGTAATATCGATAAATTGGAAAAGCCATAGATAAAACATTTACTATTATTATTCATTGTATAGACGTCATTGAGTCTTAGGCTGAAAGAAGCACTCCACTGCGACGTCATCACGTGGCGTCTATAAATAGAAAAATTGCCTTAACGAAAAAGCGAAAAGTTCAACACTACCCCGGGGATAATTTACTTCTTTTTGTGAAAATAATTATGTAAAAACATCACCAGGTCATGAAAAGTGCTGCTAGAATCCTACTCTCCAAACACAGAAAAAATTATTACAATGTTTCGCATGAAAATTTACCAAAATTTTCACAATTTGAACATACGATCAAGGAACTGTCATCAATTCATGTTAACCACACGATTCTAGTAGCACTTTCCAAGTACTATAGAATACAAGCTTTCGATACAAACAAAATTTATGTTTCAAAGTATGCGGCGTAGTGTTGAACTTTTGCATCTTTGTTGTTATAGAACGACAGAGGAAAGGCTGATCGGGATTTTAAAACACTGCCTGTGTTCATTATACGAAAACATGATCAGTATAAATCAGCGTACTTGATTCTTAATCTTTAATACTTATGAATCACACATAACTTTCACGGTATATGCTTTAAAACTCCCACTTCATATATTTGTTGTCATGAATTCTCGTCACGTTTAATTTTCACTCGGCAAATATTTGATCAATAGTTATGACGTCATGGGTTTGGTATTTTCCCCCCGTGATAAATACTAAGCTTTTTATACCACCCAAAAACGACAAGATTTAGTTTATATTATGTTTTTGAATTATTCCATTTACTTTTTGGACCTGAAATTAAACTTAAGATATAGATATTAAGAAATCGTTATCTCTAAAGTTCACGTCATACAGCTTACTATGACGTCATACTGTATAGGCAAGTACAATATCTGAGTACAGCCTTAACATACCCGCGTGGGATTCCCCATAGCAAAATACGAACTTTGTCATTATATTCATATGGGAGAGGGGGGTATCATTTTGTGTGCTCAGTCAATGCTCACAGTACCTCTAGTGTATTGAACATTATTGTTATAACAACAAGCATTCTGAGAGTATTGCATTGGCAATTCTAGTCCCTTACGAGCAAGTGTAATCTGGTTCCCGTCAAAAAATGAAAATGCCACAATTCCGTCAAAAATCAATGAAGCGGAACGAAATGCAAACTATAACTCATCAAGGTAAAGTCACACCAAAAATCAGCTCAATATCTGCAAGCGTTTAGAAAAAATTCATTGAAGCGTACTGAAATGCAAACTTGATCTGTAAATCATCAAGTTACACTCACATATCAAAAATCAGCTCAATATCTCCAAGCATTTAGAAAAAACGTGCAGAAAACCAAGTGTGACAGACTGACAGACAGGCAGACGTACAGCTAGACAGACAGACGGACGGACAGACTCAGAGGAAACCTATAGTCCACTCCGGTTTCACCGGTAGGGGACTAATAACAGGGTCGAAATTAACTTGTTCAAGCACTAGGCCTAGTGCTTGAACTTAAGCCTAGTGACTTTTAACTGTTCAATTTTCTTTTGCGTGGACTATACAGGGTACCCATCCCAAGATCCGTAAGATCTGCATGCTCATTGCACTATGATGTAAGATTGTTAGGGTTAGTCTTGCACCCGCCTGAGAGATAAGGGTTAGTTCTTGCACAAGTATTCGACTAATTAGGGTTAGTCTCGCAACCATCCGAGAGATTAGGGTTAGTCCTCGCATATTATTTGACTGATAAGGGTTAGTCTAGTATTCCAGGTCTGCGAGATTTGGGTTAGTCCTCACATACCATCCGAGAGATTAGGGTTAGTGTCGTGTTCTTTTAGATTATCATGATTAATTAAGAAATTCATTTGCATCAGTATTTTGTGCAAGATCTCAATACAGCTTCAATGGCATCTCATTGGTTTGTTTACACGGGAAATGGCTAAGTACGAAAGAAATGTCACTAAGCATGCGCCGAATGCAAAATTATTTTAGGTAGATTTTTCACTAAATAAACATTATTTTTTAATTTTTTTTCAGAGTTTGAGGTTAAAAACTTAGTTTAAAACACAGTTTCAAGCTAAACTTTAAACCATTTAATTCGATTTTAGAGTCAAAAAGGCCACAAACCTCATACTTTTTTTTTCAATCACTCACGTCATCTCTGATATACCCGGTATATATTGACGTTGCCTACAGCAACACTATATTTTAGCGCATTTTCTGGGGACCGGTAAACTCGTTCCCTTATTTCTATATGATGAAGATTTGATCCCATTTGGATTACAGCTACTGTGAAAATGGTATTAAAATGGGGAAAATATGTAAATACCCCTCCTCAACTAATTTAATATGATTTTATGAAAGAGAAAGAGATGTAAGGTGAGTCAGACTAACTCTCTCTCTCTTGAAAATCTGGGCGTAATTTTAATCCCCAGCCTTCCCTAGGTTGTTCCTTGAAATACACTAACACCTTTAATTTAGTTTAATATTTAAAAAAAAAAAGGGGGAAAAAAATTGTAAGGTCAAAAGCAATTCAAGATTTATGGACCAATTTCAACTAGTCCATATGGACTAGTGCTTTATAAAGTTTATTAGTCCAATACATTTTGTACTAGTCTCTGGCTTATGGAAATGAGCTAATTTCCAACTCTGAATAACCTATGATCCCTTGTGTACTTGTGTACATTGCGCCAAAAAAAGATGGTGTTTTGAAGAAAAGGAAAGCCTGTACTTCAAGTTCAGCATAAAATATTTTAAGAACGAACATGTTACCTTACATAGAAAAGAGCTACAGTTATACAAATACAATCCTGTTCATTTCACTAGAGTACCTCATTCAAAAGCTTCATTCAAGCCTTAGATTAAAACACTATTGATACTTATATTTCCAAGGATGCTAAGTTGAAGCTATCTGAGCCTATCAATTTTCTCCAGCCTATTTGATGTGTGCGCAATACCGGCTCACAATCAAGTTTGTTACCGGTCATCAGCAGTGTTACCCAGACATGCCAGATCGTCAAAATCAAGTATGCTAACTTTCTTGACTTGAAATTTATAAAAATCAATAATGTTATAGTCTTGTACTCCCAGGTACATGTATGCATTCATAAAAAAAAGCTGCCGTTAGAGTACTTTGTATTACATTTATTGATGTGTAATAGGAAGGGAGAAAATTTGATTGACCAGACCAGGATTCAAGACTCCAGGCCTGAACTATACTATAGACACGTAGTCTACAAGTCGAGCTGTCTGGCAATGGTTGCAGGGTTGTGGTTAACTTTTAAAGCATATACGTGTATCTTCTTCATCAAATAATTATAGTCCATATGTAAATTGGTTGCTAATAGCGAGCTTTGTTTTGGATGAAACTTTTCTTCTGTAGATTTTCTATGTAACATCCTTCTGAAAATGTAACTCATGCCATACATAAAAAATGGGAGTCATTGAATTGTTATGAAGAGAGTTATATTCAATAGAAGAACTCTAAACAAAATTGAAGTTAGATCCGTTTTAACAGTTTAAAGCTATCTTTAACGTATGGAATATTAGCACAACATACATACGTATTTTCAATCTCTTTATACAATTGCTTTATACAGATTTGCTAAAACTTGACGGTTGCACTCACTGATTACGCTGGTTGTTCCCGAATTAACAATGATTGATTGTATGTTGTTTAACGTCCATTCGAGAATTTTTCACTCATATAGAGACGTCACCGGTGAAGGGCTTCAAATTTTGACCTTTACTCGGCACTCAGGGCCATTGAGCAGTGAGGGATCCTTATCGTTCCAACGCCTCTCGTGACAGGGGGCCTCGGTTTTTAAGGTTTCATCCGAAGGACCCGCAACTTTCACTTCAAAGTGCCGAGCCCATGGTGAAGGAACAGTTGCTACCCATTTTTATCGACTTAGGTCAGTCGCGGCCGAGACTCGAACTCACGACTTCCCGATCACGGAGCGAGCGCTCTACCGACTGAGCTACCGTGAACACTGAACACTTCCGAATTAATAAAGTTTTAAAAAGGAATAGAAAAAAATTATGTTGATAATAAAGGACAATATTTTTTTTACTTTCTAATCGTTTATTCCATGACGTATAAATCCGAGAGAAGAACTATAACCCAATCATAATGAAGTATTTATACGGAAGTCCAGAAAAGCATATATAACATACATTTATATGTTTAAATTCCCGTTAAGAAACCTTTGTTGTATACTGCAATCATGTTATTTGAATTACCTTTTAAATATAAAGATGATCAGTCTGTATGAATGCAACATCATCAGAATTAGTTAGGTCAACAGTTTCACCAAAAAAAGTACTATCAGCTTATATTTTGATCTTGCTATAGCTACAGAGCCTACAAAATTATTGAGATGTAAGACTGTAGCTTCTTTGAGGTTCTCGTTTAAACTAAATTTAAAAGGGATAATATCAAGACACAAATAAGAAATGCCATAAAATATTCAAGTTCCAGTAAACACAGGGCCCTGAGCCGATCTTGCATACTTTCAAAGAAATGAGTATAAATTCTTCATAATGAAAAATTTTAATCAGATACTTACAAAATTTAATTACATAAATCAAGAGGATCAATTCCCCAC